AAAAAAAAATAAAAAAAAAAAAAAAAACATATATAAAAAAAAAAAAACAAAATAATATAGATAAGAGATGGCTCGTCCTCGATAATTCTACAACGGACGTCCCTGGGCCTCCCCTGGCCTTCCCTGTCCATGTCGTATCCCTGTGGAAAAAAGAGCTGGTTCGAGTCCTCTTTCCAAAGATAAAGGAGAACAGGATGTTTAGAAGGAAACTTTTAAGAGGAAATCAAAGATGCTTGTGTGTATGTGTTTAGTCCTTATCTTTTAGGCATCCATCCTGAAATATTTACTGCTTAAATATTACGATGTCTGGCATTTCCCTTAAAATGCTGAGGGTTTGGGTGAGAGGGTGGAGATGTAAAGTAAGATTAGTGTGAGGTGAACATTTTTGAGGTCAGTTATGGTAATAATATGGCACATAATTCAGCCATATATATATATACACATTTTCTGTATATATTCACATGCCTCATGTATATAACACACACACACACACACACACACACACACACACACACTGACCGAGAATCTTCCTTTTAACAAAACTCCCGCATTGCACACACACCAATTAGGGAGTGTGACTGCGCCCCCTAGGGGTCCCTTTCATCAAGACGGGTTCTCTTGGCCAGGCTTTGCCAAGGATCGCAGTGGGTTTGAAATGCCACTCCCTGACATGGGTTTAAAATGCACCTAATTGCCCTCGCTGGTTTGGCTCCGTGGACAGAGTGTCAGCCCAGGTTCGATTCCAGTCAAAGGCACATGCCCGAGTTGCGGGCTCGATCCCCAGTTGGGGGTGTGTAGGAGGCAGCCGATCAATGATTCTCTCTCATCACTGATGTTTCTCTCTCCCTTCCTCTCTGAAATCAATGAAAATATATTTTTAAAAAATAATAAATAAAATGCCCCTAATTGGCAAAGGCTGCCCGCTTTCACCACAGCCCTTGGGAAGGTAAGAGTCAACACCACTCTTCATTTTTTTTTAAAATGTGCCCTGACCAGGAATTGAACCGTGACCTCCAGGTTCATAGGTTGACGTCCAACCACTGAGCTACGC